TTACAGGCTTGAGCCACTGCGCCCAGCCCAAAAATTTTAACTTTTTTAAAAAATATTTTTTGATTAGGTGGGCATGGTGGCGCACACCTGCAGTCCCACTCGGGAGGCTAAGGCAGAAGGACTGCTTGAACCCAGGAGGCAGAGGTTGCAGTGAGCTGAGATTGAGCCACTGCACTCCAGCTTGGGAGTGCAGTGGCTCAATCTCAGAGTGAGACCCTGTATTAAAAAAAATTTTTTGTGGTGTTATATTTGCTAGAAAAGGGTTGTTTTTTAATTTGTGACCTTTTACTTTTTATTATGGGAATTTTGAAACATATGTAAAAGTAGAGATGATAGCACAGTGAGTCCCTGTACCAAGATTCCACAACCCTCAACTTTCTGCTATTCTTATTTCATCTATATCCTCACCCGTCATTTTTTTTTTTTTTTTTTTTTTGAAACCAAGTTTTGCTCTTGTTGCCCAGGCTGGAGTGCAATGGTGCGATCTCAACTCACCACAACCTCTGCTTCCTGGGTTCAAGCTATTCTCCTGCCGCAGCCTCTTGAGTAGTTGGGATTACAGGCACCACCACCATTCCCAACTAATGTTTGTATTTTCAGTAAAGACAGGGTTTCGCCGGGCGCGGTGGCTCATGCCTGTAATCCCAGCACTTTGGGAAGCTGAGGCGGGTGGATCACGAGGTCAAGAGATCGAGACCATCCTGGTCAACATGGTGAAACCCCGTCTCTACTAAAAATACAGAAAATTAGCTGGGCATGGTGGCGCATGCCTGTAATCCCAGCTACTCAGGAGGCTGAGGCAGGAGAATTGCCTGAACCCGGGAGGCGGAGGTTGCAGTGAGCCGCGATCGCGCCATTGCACTCCAGCCTGGGTAACAAGAGCGAAACTCCGTCTCAAAAAAAAAAACACAGGGTTTCACCATGTTGGCCAGGCTGGTCTTGAACTCCTGACCTCAGGTGATCTGCCCGCCTCAGTCTCCCAAAGTTGTGGGATTACAGGCGTGAGCCACAGTGCCCAGCCTCATAAATTTTTTTCTGGAGACTTTTAAGGCAAATTTTGGACATCATACCATCTCACCAGTACATACATCGGGATGGATCTCAACAGACAGGAACTGTTTAAAAGCCTAGCCACTATATCATTATTACACCTCACAACATTAACAATAACTCCTTAATATCATCAACTGCCCAGCCTGTTCTATTTGCTGGAAAGGGTTTTGGTAGATGCTGCAGAAGCTGCTCTGGGAGGGAAATGCTGAGCGAGTACATTCCCCTCTGACTGACACTGAGGGAGGTGATTACCACTCATGCGATAGGCAGACCACACTGAGTTTGAGCCTGGAGATTGGAACTCTTGGACAGAACTTGACTCCCCCCGTTAAAGGAAGCTGCTATTTCCCACCTGTCGACTCTGGGAGGGGCAGGAGCTACTGGGAATGGAACGCCCAGGCTCCATACTAAGGTCCCTGAAGCCTGAGCCTACTCTATCCCTCTATACCCTCCCAGGACCAGCCTGTGAATTCCTCGTGCCCAGGGCTGATGTGCGTCTTCCAGGGCTACTCATCCACAGGCCTCGTCCAACGTTCTCTCTTCAACCTGCAAATCTATGGGGTCCTGGGGCTCTTCTGGACCCTTAACTGGGTACTGGCCCTGGGCCAATGCGTCCTGGCTGGAGCCTTTGCCTCCTTCTATTGGGCCTTCCACAAGCCCCAGGACATCCCCACCTTCCCCCTGTTCTCTGCCTTCATCCGCACACTCCGGTAAGCATGGGGCAGGGGTCTGGTCGTTGTAAGCATGGGGGCCCCAGGGGTCCTGGGGCTGTCCCTGACTACATAACACCCTCTGCAGTTACCACACTGGGTCGTTGGCATTTGGAGCCCTCATCCTGACCCTTGTGCAGATAGCCAGGGCCATCTTGGAGTATATTGACCACAAGCTGAAAGGTGAGCCCAGAGTTGGAGTAGGAGTCAGGAGCTGGGGAAGGCCATTAGGGAGGGGCTGTAAGAGGCCAGAGAGCAAACATGAGCTTCCCTCGCTCCCAGGAGTGCAGAACCCCGTAGCCCGCTGCATCATGTGCTGTTTCAAGTGCTGCCTCTGGTGTCTGGAAAAATTTATCAAGTTTCTAAACCGCAATGCATACATCATGGTGAGCCACGCTGCAAGAAACCTCTTGTTCCGATGCCCTTTGGCCTAGACACCCCCATCCTGGTCCAGGCACGCTCACCTTGGTAACTCTGACCTTCCCATCCCCCTCAGATCGCCATCTACGGGAAGAATTTCTGTGTCTCAGCCAAAAATGCCTTCATGCTACTCATGCGAAACATTGTCAGGTTAGGCTGTTCCCCACCCCTTGGTGGCTCCCTCCTCCCACCTCCCACCCAAGGCTGGCTTCATGGGCGTGCTGGGTTCAGCAGGGCCCTAGACTTAATTTAGTGCTCTGTTTTTCCCATCTTGAAATGTGAACAATTTTCGTTTTGCACTGTCCCCACAAATGACAGCCTATTCTACTGTCAGCATTGCCAGGCCTCTCACCCCCAACCTCCCCTAATTTCCGGTACAGGGTGGTTGTCCTGGATAAAGTCACAGACCTGCTGCTGTTCTTTGGGAAGCTGCTGGTGGTCGGAGGTGTCGGTAAGGGACCAGGAGGAGTGGGGGCAGAGGGTGGGATGCTGGGCAGCTCAAGAGGTGGTCTCAGAGGAGCAGCACTGACCCCCAGAATTCTCCCACAGGGGTCCTGTCCTTCTTTTTTTTCTCCGGTCGCATCCAGGGGCTGGGTAAAGATTTTGAGAGCCCCCATCTCAACTATTACTGGCTACCCATCATGGTGAGTGACTCTCCTCTCTGCCGCTCGACCCTCAACTCCCCAAAGGAACGCTTTAACCCCAATGAGCCATGTGTCTTCCAGACCTCTATCCTGGGGGCCTATGTCATCGCCAGCGGCTTCTTCAGCGTTTTCGGCATGTGTGTGGACACGCTCTTCCTCTGCTTCCGTAAGTGACACTCCAGCCACCTGTCCCCAAACCCAAAGTACTGAGCTGTTCAAGGTTTTTTTTTTTTTTTTTTTTTTTTTTGAGATTTGATGCTTCTAGAAATAGTGCTTTGGTGAACTAAACAAACCAGAGGGGGCTTCTTGTGACATCCTGAGGCCAGGAGTTTGGGGAAGAAGGGAGAGAGTGAGCCCCCAGGCTGGTGGGCTCTCCCAAGAAGGAGCATTCTGATGGAGAGGTCTGTGCTATATTCCCCTAGGAAATCTCAGGTAGAAGTTAGCCATTAGAAGGCTGGGCACGGTGGCTCACACCTGTGATCCCAGCACTTTGGGAGGCCAAGGAGGGTGGATCACCCTGAGGTCAGGAGTTCGAGACCCGCCTGGCCAACACAGTGAAACCTCTGTGTCTACTAAAAAAAAATAGCTGGGCGTGGTGACGGACGTCTGTAATCCCAGCCACTCAGGAGGCTGAGGCAGGAGAATCGCTTGAACTCAGGAGGCGGAGGTTGCAGCAAGAGGAGATAGCACCACTGCACTCCAGCCTGGGCGAGAGGGAAGACTCTGACTCCAAAAAAAAAAAAAAAAAACCCGAGCACAGTGGCTCACTCCTGTAATCCCAGCACTTTGGAAGGCCGAGGCGAGGGGGATCACCTGAGGTCGGGAGTTCGAGACTGACCAACATGGAGAAACCCGGTCTCTACTAAAAATACAAAATTAGCCGGTCGTGGTGGCTCATGCCTGTAATCACAGCTACTCGGGAGGCTGAGGCAGGAGAATCGCTTGACCCCGGGAGACGGAGATTGCGGTGAGCCGAGATCATGCTGCCATTGCACTCCAGCCTGGGCAACAAGAGCGAAACTCCGTCTCAAAAAAAAAAAAAAAAATGCCGTTAGAGAGACTTCCCAGCAGGTGGCTGTCGTGGCAGGGAATTTTCTTAACTCTACAGCGTGCATCCATTCAGGATTTGCCAGGCTCCGCCTAAGCGACTGACACGCATTTTTTCCCTATAACTCTTATCATCACTCTTTGAAATATAATATTGCCGACCCCACTTCACATGAGGAAACTGAGATTACATAACCTGCCCGGGGATAGGGGTAGTGGGGCCGCCTGGATTCCAAACCCGGCAGGCAGATTGCTTCACAGTCCCCGATTTCCGGGCCCCAGGCTCCTCCGCTCTCACAGGTCTCTGTTGCATCTCAGTGGAAGACCTGGAGCGGAACGACGGCTCCCTGGACCGGCCCTACTACATGTCCAAGAGCCTTCTAAAGATTCTAGACAAGAACAACGAGGTGCCCCCGGGCAACAAGAAGAGGAAGAAGTGAGAGCTCCGGCCCTGATCCAGGACTGCACCCCACCCCCATCGTCCAGCGTCCAGCCTCACTTCGCCTTATGGATCTCCATTTTGTAGTAAAAAAAGGTTTTAGGCCAGGTGCGGTGGCTCACGCCTGTAATCCCCACACTTTGGGAGACCGAGGCGGGCGGATTACTTGAGTAAGGAGTTCAAGACCAGCCTGGCCAACATGGTGAAACCCTGTCTCTACTAAAAATACAAAAATTAGCCGGGTGAGGTGGCGGGCGCCTAAAATCCCAGCTACACGGGAAGCTGAGGCGGGAGAATCACTTGAACCCGGGAGGCGGAAGTTGCAGTGAGCCGACAGCGCGCCACTGCACGCCAACCTGGGTAACAGAGCAAGACTCCGTCTTCAAAACAAAACAAATAAAAAAAGATTTTATTAAAGATATTTTGTTTTCTCAGTCTGTGAATCGTTCTCTCCACGACTACTCGCTTTTTTTTTTTCCCCCCCCGCCGGGCTCTTTAAAATAGGCCCCGCCCCTGTGACGCCCTGGTGCCGCGGCCAATCAAAAATTCCAATACGGATGGTGCGGGGCTCTCCTTCACCCCAGCCAGTCAGCTTCCCGTTCGGGTCACGCGCTCCGGGCCTCCAAGAGGACCAATCGGAAAGGCAAGTTTTGAGACACTGCGTGATCACGTGGGAGGAGATGAGCTGCTTGAAGACCAATTAGAGCCCCGGAAGCGCGGCGGGCCAGCCAGACGGGGGCGGGCTAAAGGGTGACATCTGTGCTTTAAAGGGTCCGGGTCAGCTGACGCCCGACCCTGTGGAGTCTAGCTGCAGGGCTGTCAGCCGCTGAAGGTAGAGATGACTGGCGAACGACCTAGCATGGAGCTCCCGGGCAGACTCTGGGGGCCATGGATTCTGGGCTTCTGGGGAGGCTGCAGGGTTCGGGTGTTTGCTGCGATCTTCCTGCTGCTGTTGTCTCTGGCAGACTCCCGGTCCAGGGCTGAGAAAGACTTCGGTCTGGTGAGTCACCCCTCGCATAGCCCCATCCCCGACTCGCGCAGGTGGTAGACACCTAGTGTCTCCCGGAACGCGGGCGACTAAGCCGCCTTTCCGCAACAGGACCCTTTTCCTTCTCCCAGACCTGGATTCCTCCGACTGCTCCCAACCCCTCTGCCTCTCCGGGTCCCAGTCTTCCTCCTCATTCGAGCCCCTTCCTCTTTTGGGGCCCCCTTCGGTCCCTGAAGACTCCTCCTCTCGTAGTCCGTCCCCTGCTCCGAGCTGCCAGCTTTGCTCGAAACTCTCTTTTGGGTTCCTATTTCTTGTTCTGGGATCCCAGACCCTATTAGATCCTCCCTCTCCCATCAGGACCTGAGTTTGTCTTTGTTGACCCTTCCTCTTCCCGTAACAGGTGCAGCCGCTGGTGACCATGGAGCAACTGCTGTGGGTGAGCGGGAGACAGATCGGCTCAGTGGACACCTTCCGCATCCCACTCATCACAGCCACTCCTCGGGGCACTCTCCTCGCCTTTGCTGAGGCGAGGAAAATGTCCTCATCCGATGAGGGGGCCAAGTTTATCGCCCTGCGGAGGTCCATGGACCAGGGTATAAAGTTGCCTGGGTGAAACAGCCGGTACTGGGTTGGATGGGTAGGCAGCCCAATGGGCCCAAGGACCTTGAGGACAGGGGAACTTAGGGGGCTGGATGCCTGGGTCCCTAAAGGGTAGGGGGAACGTGAGAAGGGAAAGTGTCTAGGACAGTGCTCTGCTCTGGAAATTGGGATCACCAAGGATTTGGACATTCACTCAGCAAACATTTATTGAGTACCTACTATATACCTATACCAGGCACTATTTTAGGTTTTTTTTTTTGAGATGGAGTTTTGCTCTTGTTACCCAGGCTGGAGTGCAATGGCGGGATTTCGGCTCACCGCAACCTCCGCCTCCTGGGTTGAAGCAATTCTCATACCTCAGCCTCCCAAGTAGCTGGGACTACAGGCATGCGCCACCATGCCCAGCTAATTTTTGTATTTTTAGTAGAGACGGGGTTTCACCATTTTGACCAGGATGGTCTCGATCTCTTGACCTCGTGATCCACCCGCCTCGGCCTCCCAAAGTGCTGGGATTATAGGCGTGAGCCACCTCGCCCGGCCTGTTTTTTTT